AAATTTAAAGTCACGCGTGCTCGGCATTTAGCGAAATTACCGTACGTCATTATCCTTTGACACGGACCTCTCGTTTCGCTGACGCTTATCACGCTGAGAGAAATTTGTGCCATCAGGTTTACTTGTGACAGCTAAATAGCTTTGTTATAACACTCAAAAAGAAGAGAGTAAGCGAAGAGTACAAAAATATCTGATGATTGAGAGAGTGTAGTTTATATAAAATAACAGAGTATCTACTATCTGGAATACTTGAAATTTTCAGAGAATTTGTTTATGTTTCGAACAATTAGAGTATTTTCAGAGAAAATCGAGAAATTTTTTTTGAAGTCGCTTTTTTCTAATATTTTGCTTTTATATTATAATTGGAAGTTTACCGATTGAATTGTTAACAATAAATAAATAGACTCGTTCAAACATCAGAGTATACTGATTTTATGACTTTATGATTCAAGTATTCGATTTTGAAAACAACGTTTTGAGTGCAATTTTATTTCAGATGAAGAAGGATATTTATTTTGATAGTTTTATAAAAGTTTAATTTTGTACCAGTTACGCCTTATGGAATTTTTTGTTTGTAGTTTTTGAAAATTTTATGCAATATAAAATACTTAATTTTTATGTAGTCCTTGTAATTTCTTTCAAAATTGTTTAAACTTGATTATTGAAATTCGAGTGATTCTTAATTTTATTTTATTTCATAAATTTTTAGGAATGGGAAGTATTAAGGACTTTGCACAATAAATATATTTGTAAGATATATTTAAACATACTTTTATCTGGAATTTTTAATAAATTGCTTTGAAAATCAAGAAATTTGTTTTCGAGTTAAGTAATACATGGATGTAACTTGACTTTGTATATGTATATCTCTTGATAGAAGAAACCAGTTTTCCATTACATAATTTTATCAAATTATTTCTTTCTCTTTCAATATATTCTCATTTTTCATCGATGCGAATATCGACGCAATATTTTTCATGTTGCGACTCAACAATAATTATAAATTAAAAAGTTAAAGAAACTCGCCTAAATGCGAGTCGAGGCGCGATCGCGTAATATTTTTGTTACGGATATGACGCTCTCTCTCTCTCTCTCTCTCTCTCGTGAAAGCCATATAACCACGCCATTTACGTTCCGCCGTTAACGATTTCTGAGAGACATAAGTGACTAATGGAGCACGTTCAATTCGGGACACCCACTCGAATATTCCGACGACGGATAAGCGAGATAACGAGGCAACTTCTGTTTGACACCTTTAATTGTGCCGATATCTTACGGCCGCGTGTGTTCGACGGTGGCAAATGCGCGAAGGGAAAGTTCAACCGCCCGTTCGTTAATTTATGCCTCCCTCCTCCTCCGCCCCCACTGATAAACGATCGTCTCGCAATCGGCGGTGAAAGATACGGCGCTGTTTAGATTCGCGTCATGACTCTTATCTCGAGTCTCAACATCTATCGAGTGTTCTTTTTTTTTTTTCTTTACACACACACACGCGCGCGCGCGCGCGCGCGCACACACACACACACACACACACACACACACACACACACACACACACACACATATATATATATATATATATAATAAGTGACGTAAC